CTGTGGCATGAGAGCCGGATCAGAAAACTTAGTTCAAAGGAGTAGTTTTCTGCTTTGTATTTAGTTTTTGGTAGGTTATGGTTTTTTTAAGGACATTTCCTTTTGTTTAAGGCCCATTAGTTTCCTTTCTATGAAAATCAAAATTGTGGTGGCAATTTTGTGACAGCACCCATGTTGTTTTCTGAGTTCCAAATAAACTGGAACACTTTTCAGCCATCTAGTCTTCAGCATATATTTGCATCTTAATGTTAGTGTTACATTGCCATCTAGTGGGAATTTTACAGCTGACTTCCTGCTGCAAATAATTCAAATGTGGGGATGATAATGAATGGAAATATTTTCCATTTACTACAGCTTTTGATTTGAGAACCATGAAGTGGAATGCACACAGTGAACCTTCAGGTTTCTGTATTTGTTTAAATATATCAATGACCCTCTCCAAGGGTTTGGGCCAGATAATATTTGATAGAAAGAATGTTCAGATCTATTTAAAATCTAATTTAGATTGATATTTCTTCTGACTCAGTTTTTTCTGGTTGGTCACTAGGTTTTTATATATATATAACTTTTCTCCCAATTTAGAAACCAAACATGGGTTGTAGAAATATATATGGAAGAATTGACTCACTTAGGAAACCTATGGAAAAGATGACTCACTTAGTCCCTACTGAATGAATGTACGTGTGTATGTATTCCTATTCAATAGTGACTAAGTGAGTCAACTCTTCCATAGGTTGCATTTATTCAAATGGCCATAGTCTAGTTGTGACTTAATTTAGTACAGTAACTTGCAACTAGAATAGGCCCATGTTAATCAACAAAATTTACAAAGGAGTTGGCACTTCAAATCCCTACTGATTCAGTAGGCCTACTCTAGTGTGACTTATTACATTTAGCAACAAGATTTAAGCTATAGAAATAAGACTATGTAATTAAATATTCAGAAGCACTATCAGAGCCACTGACTATTATTTTCTTGAAATCACAGAGGACAGGAGAAGTGCCAGATGACTGGAGGAGGGCTAATGTTGTCCCTGTCTTCAAAAAGGAGGAATCTGGGAACTACAGACTGGTCAGATTGATATCAATCCCAGGAACAATTCTGGAGCAGATTATAAAGTGATCACTCTGCAAGCACCTTGGAAATAATATTAACTAGAAGCCAACACTAGTTGTATTTTTAGCTGGTTTATTTCTCTGGTAGACAGTGAGGATGTTGTGGACATAATACATCTTGACTTCAGCAAAGCCTTTGACAAAGTGCCCCATGATATTCTGATTAGCAAACTAACTAGGTTTGGGTTGTATAGAATAACTGTCAGGTGGATACAGAGTTGATTGTACTTCAGAGACTGCTTATCAATGGCTCCTTCTTAAAGCGGAAGGAAGTAACAAGCAGGATACTACAAGGCTTAGTCCTAGATCTGGTACACTTCAACATTTTTATTAATTACTTGGATGAGAGAGTGCAAGGGATGCTTACCAGATTTGCTGACGATACAAAATTGGATGGAATAAATAATACCTGGAAGACAGGAAAGAGATTCAAAAAGATCTTGATAGGCTTGAGCACTGGGTTGAAAAAATTGGAATGAAATTTAACAGGGATAAGTGCAAGGTTCTAATAAAAATAAACCAATGACAATTCGCTTGGTAATACTACATGCAAGAAGGATCTTGGAATTTTTGCAGCTCACAAGCTGAATATGAACCAGCAGTGTGATGTGGCTACAGAAAAGGTATATGCTATTTTAGGCTACATTTACAGAAGTATAGCCTCCAAATCCCAGGAGGTCATAACTCCCCTCTATTTGGTACTGGTTAGGCCCCCATCTGGAGTATTGTGTGCACTTCTGGACACCACAGTTTAAGAAGGATTGTTTCCTTGACTCTTTCCTATCCTCCCGGTTATGCAATCCAACACAAGGGTAGACTGGAGAGTCGGGGGGGGGAGGAAGTAGCCATTGTTTATAGAAACACTCTAGAGCAGGGGTCCCCAGCCACCAGTCCATGGCCCAGTACCGGTCTGTGGCTTGGGCTGGACCAGGCTGCAGAGACAGATCTTCCGCCTCCCGCATGCACTCCGTACCCCCCGCACACTGCTTTGTGCATGTGTGTGAGTGCACGTGTGTGCAACCCCACCCCTTTGCGAGTGCACATGAGTGTCCCACGAGTGTCCCCTGCCCTTTGCGTGTGCCCGTGCAAGCACCCCCTGCTCATTCATGCATGCGTGCAAGCATGGGGAGGTTGCCTCGCCTTCCCCAACCAGTCTGTGGAGTCAAAAGGATTGGGGACCACTGCTCTAGAGGTTGTAAGGTGCTTGGCAGTGGCGACACCAGGTCTTGAGGCCCTCCACATGTTGATTGGGGTGAGGGATGGTTTTGGGATCTTGCTGGGTTACCACGCAAAAAGCCGGACATTTTAAAGTTTTTTTTAGTTATGCCTGCCGGATGCAGGACATGATCCTGAAAAGTAGGACATGTTCTCCTTTCTAGCAACCCTATTCTCACTAGCATCTCACCTGACCAATTTGCAACATTTTTAAAATCTAAAGTGGAGGCCATCCACCGGGATCTTACCCCCTATTTGTAAACAGTAGATCGAGCAGAGACGTCCAGCACTCCACCTTGACCAATGAGATGCAATTATTTTCTGCCTGTGACATCAGATATGGTGGACAAAGTGCTTGATCATTGTCGTGCCACCACCAGCTCCCTTGCCGGGCCGGGCTAATCAAAGCAGCCAGGCCTGTAACAACTGAATGGGCCACTGCAATAATTAATGGGTCTCTCCAGAAGGGCAAGGTTCCTCTTGCCCTCAAGGAGACATTCATTTTGCCCATTAGGAAGAAACCAAGTTTGGCGGTGGACAATATTGGCAATTAATATTGAAGTAATCTTTATCATTCCTTTGTTCTGTTCCATGTGTTGGTTTTCCAGTAGTATTCCACGAACAGATTCAGGGTCAAACTGCATGCTATACTTTTAATACTTTGAAGGAAAAACATCTTAAACTAGCTACTGTTTTCTATAGTAGAATAAGTGGTGGGACAGATTTGGACCAGTTATCCATTTCAAGGTTGGTCTTGCTGTGTATTAACTAGAATGTGGGTGTTGGGAAGCAGCAGCAGCAGCAGCAAAATGTTGGAGGAGAGAGAGCTGTGTGTGACAGGCACTCTGCCATGTGACTCCTAAGATAACCTGCTGCTCCCAGGTGTGATAGAGGATCCTACTCCCATAATCAGTGTTTAACCAGCAAGATGCAATCTCCAGGTCAGTTGTAATGGAATGAGAGAGGGGCCATCTTATTCTTCACTTCAGGCATCAAAAGGTTTGATCTTCCACACTGTTGTCATTTGCTGCTGTTACTATAGTCGGCTGTAACGTTAGCAATCTGCAGTTATTACTGTATAAAGAGCAATGTCAGAGGTAAATTGAAGCCAATGTTGTTTTCACTAACCTTCTGAGCCATATTCACCAGCCCTCTGCAGTGCCAGGGTTTATAAAAGTTGCCTCTTTGTGACTGCAACTTCAGAATTCATGGCTGGTGATGCAGGATATTAGCAGATGTAATCCCAAAAATAACTTTTTCATGTTGCACATTCAATATTGTTCAGAGCAGGTCCTTCTATTGGAGGGGACTTGAGGAATGGGTTGCTGGAGACGGGTATAGGGAAGGAGGAGGGGAAGGAAAACTTTCACCATGTACTCCTTCCTTCCTCTAGGCTCCAGTCCATTAAACAGCTTCAGTCACAAGCATATTTACTTTGAATCAAGTTCTGTTGTAGTGAATAGGGAATTTCATCTTGGTAAATGGATAAGAACTAGGTTGTGGGGACACTGAAAGGTAATGTACATACAGTAATTGCCACATTAGTGATTGCTTGCACTATCTTGTGGCTAGTTTGGAATTTGCCACAAACGAATGTTGACAGCTTTGTCGAGATTAGTCCAGCTTTAGATCTGAGGTAGTGCTAGGAAACTGCTTCTGCCACTTGGCGGCCCTGCCTGCCTCCACATACTTGTGTGCACACTGTTTAGTAGTGACAGCAAATAGCAGATCTCCTCGCCATCCAAGCAAATTCATGGGAACCTATGAAGTAGAATTAGCATCATTTGGAAAGTGACAGCAAAGTGGCACTTTAGACCAGAGAGACTTTTAGAGCCAAGTTTGGAAAGCTTCTGTTTGGACTACAAATCCCAGAATCCAATGGAGGAATGTGGCATGGAGTTTTACTACTGTGTTTCCCTGAAAATAAGACAGGGCCATATATTAAGTTTTGCTACAAAAAAAACGCACTAGGGCTTATTTTCAGTGGATTTTTTTCATTTAAAACAATCTACAGTACATTATTCAAATAGTCATGCCATCTTCTGGTTGCTGCACAATGGCAGAGGGCGGGGTTTCACTTAACTAGGGCTTATTTTTGGGGTAGGGCTTATTATGAGCATCCTGAAAAATCATACTAGGGCTTATTTTCAGGTTAGGTCTTATTTTGGGGAAAACAGGCTATAGCCTCAGAATAAATGCTCTGTTTAAACATCAAGTATGTTCTGTACTAATGCTTCTATGTAACCAGTATGACCTGTGACTCTGCTTGATCTGTTTTCCTTTGAATGTGTTGCTTCCTCTTGCTGTTTTAGAAAATTAAAAAGGAAGTTCTCCAACCTTTGTTCGAGACACAGAGCTCCTACTGCTACAAATAAAAAAATAATGTTCAAATATTGCTCAGCCATGAAAACTTAACTGAACCACTGCTAGAATATCATACTTATCTTGAAAGCTCTATAAAGGTCTCTATAAGTTGTTTCCAACTTAAGGGCACATAACAAGTTAGTATTGGAGAGCAGAAAACAGGTATATATAATAAATGATTTTGTTCTTTTCTCTCTCCCCCCCCCCCNAAAAAACAAATATAACAAAAGATTTTTTTTGTTATATTTGTTTTTTAAAAGTTTAAGTGATGCTTTTATTTTGTCTGGCTAGTGGCTAACATTTGAACCAAATTGGCTGAACCCACTGGAAAACCCTAAAGTGGAAGCGACTCAGCGGGCAATAACAACACCCTGTTTCGCCTGAGCCTCACAGCATTTCACATTCTCCAGAACAACGCCTCTCTGCAGAACTTGGGAAAAGGAGATGGCCGGTTGCGGAGCCTGAGGGAAGCTCCAGCTGTCGCGATGTCGGGATGTCATTGGCTAGAAGTTTCGCTCGGAGGTTGGCTTGTTTCTGGAGAAATGGGTGGGGATTGGCCGGGGCGTCTTGACGTAGCAACACCCGTCCGTCGACGCAGCGAGCTCTTTATAGCTGGGCGCGAAAGGTTTCCTAATTCAAGCAAGCGCGCGAGATTGGCGTTGGGAGGGTTTCAGGCCGGGCGCCCGTCTGGTAGGTAGCGCCATCTCGGAAGGACGGTACCCGTTGGACGTTGGCTTTTTCTTTCTTGGCTCGGTGAGTTCGCGGTGGGCGTCGTAGAACGAGTCAGATAAGGAGCCGCGTCGCCAACATGTCTGTGGCTTCCTCGTGTGGGCTTGCCGTGTTTTGCAGAGCGGGTGGTGCCTAACCCGGGCAGGCAGAGGAAGCCGGAAGGGCTCCCTCACCCCAGATATTCCCCTCAGGCGCCTTACAGTGGGTTTCGGCCTGTAAGAGACTCGTTTTCCCTGGTTCGCTTACAGTGATTTGTCTGAATGCCTTGCCTGATCGAGGAGGATTTGGCTTAAGATGGGAGAAATTCTCACATAAGTAGAAAACACGTGTGTGGGCGAGAGTGAAAAGAGGACGGCGAGAGCGCCTTCCAAAGTGAGGCTTTCAAGATGAGGTCTTCTGTGGGGGAGTTAGAAGTTTTTCTCGATCTCTTTTGTGCCTCTTTTCCATGTGGAAAGGTAGCGTACATAGTCAAATAACAGCATATTTAATTTTAGGGGTCGCCCTTCAAAACGGCGTTTGAATAGTTTCTTCCTCACAAATGCGGTGCAGCTTTAATAGGTTCAATTTAAAATAAAAATGTGGTGTAGTGAGAGAATCTATTAGGGTTTTTGTTTACACTGAATATCTGGTTCCCTAATGAAGTTACTGTATAAACCTTTAAGGTGCTACAAGTCTCTGTTACAGAAATGTAACATGCAGTTAGTTGGTGGGCAGAAAGATGCTGACCAAATGATTCAAATAAGTAACATTGTTGCCCTCTTATCTCAACTTACTTCAAAGGAAATCTTACTGGACTTTGTGGGCCCTCACAGTGTATTCTCTAAATTATCTTATTTGGAATTGGGAGGCGAAGTTGAGGAATGTTTCACCCATTTAACATAATTAACACTGAAAACAAAATTGTGGGCTTACTGAGTCAAGACTGAACTAGGCTGCATATGGTGAATTGCCTGTAGGTTGCTTTGAACTGCTTGAAAAGTTACTGTGTGATTAAAGTTTGGATCTGGGTCAAATTCTGTTGTTGGCATTCAGAGTTGCCAGTTGAGTGTTTCTGAAAGAATAATATTAAGGGCACATGATCTAAGCTATTTATTGAAGATTATTTGTGCTCTACTGTGTTTTAAGATTCTCTGTTCTATTAGTTCCCAATCTTGGGTCCCCAGATACTCTTGGACTACAGCTGCAAAGAATCCTGGCCAGCACAGCTAGTGGTGAAGGCTGTTGCAGTTCAAGAATATCTGGGGATCCAAGGTTAGGAACTCTATTCAGTCTTTCAACTTACACAGAAGTTAACTCCCAAAGTGCACTCCCACTTTCAGAACATGCTTCTAAGTGATCTAGCCAAATATTTGGACTTCCAGTGCCTTTCCTTTCTGCCCAGTTTTTACTGGCTAGCCTGATGAAGAAATCTAGAGAATTCAAAAGCTTTCACATTGTGTGTAGGTACAGTTATTGGCCAGAATGCTGTTGGTGATTTGCACAGAAGTTAAAATGTGTAGCTCATCACGGTGGATTTCCACTAATTGAGACTGGTTGTATTCATAGGCATGCGCCTGTTATGGAGTCAAGCATGTGCCTCATAACACTGTGAGTTGCCAGCAAGTCACTGAAGTAATTCAGCCTTCACACCTAAAATTGTGAACCTTGCCTACTTAAGGAGTTGGTTTTATTTCTGTGATTTAGCATACAGTATCCTCATTCTTTTTTGGAAATAATTTCAGTGGTAGTGCTGCAGACATTGACATCAGTGTTGTAAATTAGCTCTGTGTGTGTGTGTGTGTGTGCCCGCACACACATAGGAATGAAGCCCAGTTGCTTGATGACTGCAAAGAGAACTAGTAAAATGTTAAATAAATCTAGGGATTTTTCATTTAGCCCCATAATTTGTAAATAAAAGGATCAGAATATTAACTGTAATTTTTAGAATGTTTAGAGGGCATTTGGACATTCCCAGCATATTGCTCCCAGCTGTTGTGGAAATATGACTGCTGGGCTCTGCTGATGCTGTTGGTTTGCAGTGCACAAATGTGATCAACAAAAACAGGAGTGCATGAAATATGTGAACAATTTTAAGATGAACAGGAACTTTCCAGTCTGCTGCATGTGAAGGTAAAGGACTCCTGGCTTATCGTGGGATATCTTTCTTAAGTGAATTTAATGTTTATTCTGAATTGAACTTAAAATGAAAGCAAATTCCCAACTTGTTTTAGCCATTAAGTGATAAACTATATAACAGCAGACTGTGTTCTGCAACCTATTAACACTATGAATTTGAGATTGCTAGTCCTGTTAACTTAGCGGGCTGCTCATTTGTGACTACCAAGGATGACTGGCTGCTCTAATGTATTTCTTGTATACTTCATGTCAATTTAGGATTCAGACAAAAAGCAGAGAAATGAATTCCAGGGTGAAGCAGAAATTGGATGATGAGAAACCCATTGCTGTAAAGGTAATGAATGAAGTAGATTTGTGTATATGGTTATTAAACTTAATTTTCAGAGAGCACACGGTAATAGATTGGTATTATTTGATCAGTTGTTGCCTAGAAAACTGATACTTGAGAGACGTTTGATAATAACTTTTAGTGCTAAACTTCTTATAATACTGGAGATCCCTGATTTGCTGTAGCTCTTTAACCTCTATACTCTCCCTGCAGTATTCCTTTGCACCCTCTTCAAGCACCCTGATTCACATTTGTGAGGCATTAGGAGGTAAGAGGGCTGTTCTGCCTCCTACTGTTTCATGGCTCTTGTTCCATGGGGGGGAGTTGCACTGAATTATGGGACTTGGAGTTTTTTTTCCTGAAAATTCAATTCCCAGTACTGGATTGATTCTCCAGACTGTTGGATATTTGATATTCCTAGTTCTGGAAAACAGGTTGCTTGCCACCAGAGAACAGAGACTTTATTTCCTGTATCCTAGGTTATGCTCCATAGTGCTGGTACATATCAGTCAATTTAAAGCAGGCAGTTGAAGGAAGATTCAAGGTCCAGATTAGTTGGGGGCTGGCTTCTGAAAGATAGTTACTGGTACACAGTTGCAGATTTTAAGCAGGACTGCCATTTATTCAGAAGCAGCTCCTCTGGTATTTCTGCTCAAAAACTCTTAAGCATCTAGCATTTTTCCCCAGGGGAAGGGAAATTGATGCAATTGAGATGGTATTGTATTCATGAGTGGCCCAGGAAAATAAAAGCTTTTTGAAAGATCTTATTACCTCTGAGTGTTGTTGACAAAATGAGGGAACTGAAGCAAGCCAAAACCAAATCAACAAAAAGGGCTTGGAAGTAAGATCAGAAGGATTTGTTTTCCCTTAGCAACTGCTTTGTATGTTCAAAGAGACTGTCCTCTTGCTTTGCATCATGGCTAAAAAACACAACAATCACTTTGTAATCCAAGCCACTTCAATGTATGCAATTAAATAATCCAATGTTGAAACTGAGGCTCTCCTACTTTGGGGACATCATAAGAAGACAGTATCATCTAGAAGAGTCAATAATGCAGGGAAAGGTGGAAGGTAGCAGGAAAGGGGGAAGACCAAATACAGGATATATTGACTCCTGAAAGGAAGCAACAGGCTTGGGTTTGTAAGAGCTGGGCAGGTCAGTAGAGGACTGGACATTTTGGAGATTGCTCATTCATAGGATAACCATAAATTGGAAGGGACTTGATGGTACATAACAACATATAATCTAAGGTACCCAGTGGACTATGATGGACAGAGTGGCAGAATAGGATTTAGGAGATCTTGGTTTGAATCCCCATTTGGCTATGGAAATTCACTGCCAAAACACACCTTAAGTATCTCACTTATTTTGAAAGCCCTGTTAGGTTATTATAAGTTGGTTCCAACTTGACAGCACATAACACACAAATCCAGGCATTCTGATGGTAACATACAGCAAAGAGTATAACTATATACTGTAATGGCAGACATTATATTATAGCACACTTGATTCCTATGCTGATTTCTGAAGAAAAAGCAAATCTAGAAGAATCTCCTCTGTTTCATAGGGATGCTTGTATTACATTCCTAAATATCTACCTGATTAGTTGGAGACTTCTGGCTCAGCAGAAGGCAGTTGATCTGAACCCATATGAGGTTCCCCAATGTTTTGGGAAGCCATAGGCACCTCTAGAATTTTCAGAAAGTCAAGATTACTTTTCTCTACCCAGATCAGACAACTGTCCCCACTCACCTTCTCCATACACAACGTGGTTCTAATACCTGTTCTTTTCCCTTAGAGCCTAGATAAAAATTGAGTCAGTACTCCTAAAGCTTCTGTTGACTGTGTGATTCTTACATGATCCAGCTAGGGCAGTGGTCCCCAACCTTGCTAAAACTTCTGTTGACTTTGTGTGATTCTTACATGATCCAGCTAGAGGACCATCAGATTAAAGTGCACATTGGTATCTAAAGAGCACACAGTAAAAATCAGAATTTTTAGCATCACTGTAGTCTAAGAGCATAGTTAAAAAAGGTAATTAACCTCCCAGTTTAAAATGAAAGTATATTCACTTTGGTGGGAAATGAAATGATATAACCTTGTTCTAGCTGTTAAGTCACCTCAGACTAACACGACCTTGTGAATGAATGACTTCCAAAATGTTCTGTCAATAGCCTTGCTCAGCTCTTGCAGACTCAAGGCTGTGGCTTTCTTCATTGAGTCAGCCATTTAATATTTGGTCTTTTTTTTCCTGTTGCCTTCAAACTTTTCCTGGCAATGTTGCATTTTCAAGCATGTTTTGTCTTCTCATGATGTGCCCAAAGTATGACAGCCTCAGTTTCATAATGTTTGCTTCTAGAGAGAGTTCAAGCTTGATGTGATCTAGGATCCATTTGTTAGTCTTTCTGGAGGTAAACAGCATCCACACAGCTCTTCTCTGCACCGTATTTCAAACAGATCAATAATTATTCTGTCAGTTTTCTTCACTATCCAGCTGACACATCAGTACATGGAAAACTGAGATTACAGCAGTGTGAATGATCTTAGCCTTGGTTTCCAGTGACACGCCATGATGCTTGAGAATCTTTTCTGGTTCCTTAATAGCTGCCCTTCTGATTCTGTTGTCTTCTCATTTTTTGGCTGATGTCTCCATTTGGATTGATCATGGAACCAAGATATACAACAGTCTTGAGAATTTTGATTTCTTCATTGTCAGTGTTATGCTCTGTAGTCATGATTTTGTCATCTTACTGTTCAACTGCAGTCAGTCTTGCCTTGTTTCACTTTACAGCAAGCATTCTATCCTAAAGAGATAGGTACAGTATCTTCCTCAAATAACATTAGATGTCCGTATAGAAATCATAGTTCCCGTTGAGTTCCTGATTACGCTTTCATCTCCTTTTCTACAATCTCATGTTCTTAGTAAGCACCCCAATAATTTCTTTGGGTTCTACCCTCTGTGGGGTTAGGTGCCACGTATCTACTGGTTGCAGCATCTGCCGCCAGTCAGTCTTTTGTTCCTGTTTCCCAGCAGAATGGCCAAGTGTTTGTAGTACAAATGTGGAAGTGGCCAAGGAGGCACATCACAAGTTGCTTGATACCTACCCTTGCTCTGTAGAGTATTCCATGCTACTCCCTTCCATTTTATTATCTATGCTGCATGTTCAGTCTTAAAGTAGTAGAGAATGCAGCTGGGGTAGTAGTGGAATGTGGAATCAGTAAACCTGGTTTGACCCCAGCTTTTGAGCCCGGGGCTACAAATCTTGACTGCCCTAATTTTGCTTATTAGCCATCCTTATGGAGCAGAATAGGTTTTTCTCTAGTACCATGCTGGGCTTTGGGGACTTTTGGAACATCTTTGACACCCCATGCAACACTGGATATGAAATCTGTTGTCTCCCAGTTTATCTCATTTTTTTTAATTTCAAAATTCGTTGGAAATTTTGGATTGTAAGTGGCATCAAGGCATGTCTTGTTGTGCTCAGGTTTCTACTTGCCAGATGAGGGGTACTTACCATAGCAACCATGGCAAGCAAATTTGTGGACTTCTGCCAATTCACTATGGGAGAATAAAGGATATTGAAAAGGAAAGCTAAATTGTACAGAGATAAAGGGCATATGAAGCTACCATTCTTTTAGCTCATGTATTTTTGGCCTTACTTTCCCTTCCCCCTAAAGCACTAGCATTCTCACTTTTAAATTTGTACTGGTTATTTTTTATCTTCAACGGAGACTACATGGTTAAACATAAAATATTAAAAGTAGTAGGTTAATCCAAGCAAGTGAGAACTAGTGAATATTTCTGCCAGTCTCTTCAGTTAAGCAGAAAGTATAATCTGAAACACAGTGCAGTGCTGGTTCCCACAGTAGCTGGCACTTGTCATCTAGTTCAATAGTAAGCTAATTGGCAGCAAAAGTATTACCGTGGGAAAGGTGAGCTCTTGTCATTGAACTGCAGTGTGAATCGCTAGCTTTCTCACGCTAGTATGACATTATGTTCCTTTATCCCTGTTTGATTATCTACCATTGTTTGCTATCTCATAGTGGCAGGGTAACTTTTTTCAAAGGAACTAATGCAGGAAATAGTTATTTACATATTACAAGGAAGGTGATGTTCTGTTTCACCAAAACAATGCTCTGGTTGGATCAGTATGTTATGTCCTAGGCAAAGCAACTAGACATCTATCACAAATCAAGGGAAATGTATGTCCTGTGAAGTATTGTACTTTCCCCACTGAAGTGTGTAGATCTGCCTTGGGTACTTCCAAAGTTATCCTAGACAGAGCTTTGAGTACAGCAGGACTATCATTGTTCATGACCCAAGGCTTAAACTACTGGGATCCAGTTGCACTAGAAAGGTGATCTGACACTGTGAAATTACTGGTGAAACTGGGATGAACGAGAGAAGAAATTTAAACAAATGTGTGATACATTCTGTTTAGTTATTTCAGAAGAATGCAAGAATGCATAGTTCATTGGTCTGAATGTGGTGCCTTGACTTAAGAAATTAATCGATATTGGAACGGTGGCCGTAAGTCAAAACGTTCGTAAGTCAAACCACCATTTCCCTTAGGAATGCATTGAAAACCGATTAATCAGTTCCGGCTCTTTTTTGTCCTTATGTCAAGCCACAGTTCGTATGCCAAAGCATTAGTTCCCATAGGAACTAATGCAAAGCCAGTTAATCCGTACTCTACCACTAGGGGGAAATATTTTTTTCTTTTTTCTTCTTTTGACCTAAGATGAATTTAGATCAAAAAAAGGGCAGGAAAGGTTTTTTTCATTTGTAAGTCAAAGCTCTGTTTGCAAGTCAAAGCAATATTTAGCATTCGGAGCTATTCGTAAGTCAAATTGTTTGTAGGTCAGGGCGTTCGTAACTCAAGGTACCACTGTGGTAACTTCTGTTTCTGAAACTTTGCTGTTCTTCTGACTATGCATAATAACTTGCTATTGACATATTGTTGAAATCCTGTTGCTTGGCTTAGTAAATTGCAACTAAAGTAGACCAACTAAATAAGTGGAACTTAAAGAGGATTTGACTTGCCAAATTCCCACTGATTCAATGGGCCTATTTTACTGGCTAGTTATTATGTTGAGTAACAGGATTTAAACCACATATACACTAAAGCTTTCAAATGTTCATTCAGCATACCTTCAGTAGCCTCATTAAATATATTTTGTCTGAAACAGGTTTCCACAAATAATAGAAACTACAAATCAGAGAGGCAGACCCTGAAGATGATACAGCCATCCATTACAGGTTGTCTTGTTGGCAGAGCAAATGAGGTATGCACTGCTGCTGGAACATAGTTTTTGTGTACTGTCTTCCTAAGTGACCTACAGCTAGCCAAGGCAGTTTGCTTCCTGAGGCAGTGCCATAGTGGAGACCACCCTCATGTCAGGATACCTAGTGCCCATGACTTTGAAAGAAAACTTTTACTTCAGTTTGGTAGAATAAGTATAATTTACATCACTATGCCACATGGCTGGTTTAGAACTTCTGGATAGCTCAGTGGTTTAGGTCTCTGGCTGTGGAGAAAGCAATTGGGAGTTCACCTCACCATTGTGCCTCCTTAATGGGGTCCCATAGGGTCCCTTCCAGCTCTGCAGTTGTAAGATGATGATGATTCCCTTTGATCTGAGAGACCTTCCACACTCCCAAAATGAAGGCTGGGCTAAAGTTAGAAAATGTAATAAACAGTATTTCCTGCACTAACATTTCTGTGTATTTTGCCACCTTTGAGCTGAGACCTTCCACACTCCCAAAATGAAGGCAGGGCTAAAGTTAGAAAATGTATGTAACGAACAGTATTTACTGCACTAACATTTCTGTGTATTTTGCCACCCCACTCCCAATTTCTTTTTGCTGCATTTATCCATGAAGATTTGCTTGTGTGCCCAGTTCTTACCCACGTTGAAGAGGCTCGGGTAAGATGGGCAGGGAGGAAGCCATCTCACTTGTTTAGTGTTAGGACCGGCTCTGAAGTCAGGTGACACTTAAACCTGCAGTCTCCCTATTAATTTTGATTGTTAACTATACAATTACATTATCTGCTTTCAGATAACTGAAAGTGACTGTTAAACTAAAGCACATTTTAAGACTCTTTTTCAGACATTTAAGCCCATAATGGTATTCTAGGATGAAAAATAGATTCTTGGATTTAAGGTTAGTTGAGCAAATTGAAAAAATGCTTTATCAAACAATGTCTGCTTCATAGTATTTTCAAACTTGCAGCAAACAAAATCAACAATCAAGAGGAAACTTCGGAGTGATCAGCTTGTTTCAAAGGCTTCCAAATCTGAAGTCACTATTGAAATGAAATACAAAAACACAGGAGGAGTTATCCAGGCTTCTGATCTTACAACAAAAGGTATGTAGCTTTTAAGAAAAAAGCAACTGCCCATTTTCTAGTTAAGACTCCCAAGGACTGAACTGGAAAATAGAGATAAAAATAAACTAGCTGATACCTTGATAAACTGTAAGAAATGTCCTGCTGGAACAGAGGAGGCCCTGTTTAGTATATCATTTTCCACTGAGGCCAAGCTGATGCCTCTGGGAAACCACCAGTAGCATATGAGAGCAACAGTCTTCATGTGTTCCGTAGCACATGGTAGTTGGAGGTGTGCTACTTCTGAACCTGGTAGGGAACATGTAGACATCATGGCTGGTAGCCATTGATAGCGTTATCCTATAGAAGCTTGCCTAATTTGTGTTCATAATATGTTGAGAAATTCATGGGCAACAGAAGCAAAAGTACCGTATTTTTCGCACCATAAGACGCACTTTTTCCCCACAAAACGGGGGTTGAAAGTCTGTGTGTCTTATGGAGCGAAGGAAACAGATTATATTTTCCTGTTTTCTTGTTATCCTATAGAAGCTTTCCTAATTTGTTTTCATAATATGTTGAGAAATTCATGGCAACAGAAGCAAAAGTAATTAATTGGGATCCATCAGGAATGGGAGCAATTTGGTGCAAATGATCTACTACTTGTCCTCCCGTTCTCCCAGCGATTAACAGAAGTATGTATCAATTGCGTTATCTGCTTAGAGAGATCCATCAGGAATGGGAGCAATTTGGTGCAAATGATCTACTACTTGTCCTCCCGTTCTCCCAGCGATTAACAGAAGTATGTATCAATTGCGTTATCTGCTTAGAGTTTTACGTTCTTGTGCATAATATCTACTAATGGTTAAAAAAAAGGATTGCTGTCTCTCTCAATGCCCCCTTTGATCAGATGACTGAGCTGCCATGTTTGTGTGGAATGAATGAGGTTTTTTTCAGATCTGAAGGCAATGACATCTCAGAAGGTAGCAAAGAAAGTAATTAAATAAATAAAAAGATGCCTTCTGGCTGGCAAATTCCCAGTTTTTACACTAACCTGAGTTTAAGGTTGCTGCATAATGTTGATTTATCAGTTTGTTATAACATTTGTTGGGCATCACATAGAAAGTATTGAAATTAAATCAGGAGATTCATTTAATGACTACATTAATCCAAGATCGTACTAGAAAACAGCAGAAACAAATACTGTAACTTTTGCCCTCTGAAACTGGCAATAATTCTTTTAAGTAACCGAGCAATAAAATAAAGCTCAGTAAATGAGCATAAAGTACACAGAGAAAACCACATAACATAATGGTGGTAGTTGATGGAAATGTCTATTCTTTGCAATATCTGTAGAAGTGCAATTTCTTCCAGTAAATTTATGATTGCATCTGTTTAACGACACCCCCACCCCCACATAAACTGTAGGTAGTCAAAGCACAGTTCAGTCTCAAAGTTCAATCTCAAGATGATGTGGCTATCTGCAAATTCAGGCTTATATGGACCCTTAGTGTGTGTTCCTAAACACTTCTTTCTCCAAGGCCAGGCTCTAAAAAAAGAGTTTGTTTTGTTCTGTCACAGTTACCCAAGAGTTTGATATGATTGTTTTCTTCCATGTTAGTAGAGTGTTGGATCCTAAATGCAAGCAGGTGATTGCATGGACTAGTAACTAGGAAATCTTGTTTTGGAAACATCTTTGCTGCTTTATGGAGTTTTTAAAAAAATTCTCAAGAATGGGCAACGCAAGAGCTGATGTCTGCACTTTATAGACCAGTGTACTGTACAGCCTACCATGTTCTTGGCTTCAGGTTACATTCATTGCTTTCCAAATGCTTCTAGTTTTATCAACACATAACTCTTCCCTTTTTCAGTTCACATTCACATTTGCTCACAGTGTATGTGATTTAAGAACAAAAAAGGCATTATTAGATAAAACAAGAGTCTGCCTTGTCCAGCATCCTGCTTTCAACGGTGAAGACAGGGAAATTGCCACCTTTCTGTGCAGCAGCTGGTATCAGTTCTGCACTAACTGAGGATGGAGGGTCATGTTCTATCAAACATTAGAAAACCTACCGCTCACATAAGTGGTTGAGCAAGCTTGCTTCAGTTCATATGGATGAAGGAGGTAAAACTCCCATTCCTGGCTTTTATCTGCTGTCTGTAGTTTTCAAAGGCTATTTTGCTATTACTAATCTTTGCCTCTTTGGGTACACATCTTTAAATTACTGAGTGGCGCTTAGCACTGTGATGCTAAAGTAAGGGTGGGTTATAAGGTATAACTTTCTAAATAATAATGAAGATGGCATACCAAGACAAAAATTGTTGGAGTGATTTCCAGCAATCAAATGTTGGATGTTGCTAAAAACTTTAAATTTCTTTGTAGGCAACCCTTCATCTCGGTATTGGAAAGAGCTGGCTGAGGAGAGGAGAAAAGCACTGTATGAGGTGTTACAAGAAAATGAAAAGGTGATTTTAGTAATATCAAGAGAAAATCAGCTACGTTTGTATATGGTTGTTGCCTAAAATCTTTCTGCTTTTTTTCAGCTGCATAAAGAAATTGAAGTAAAAGAAGCCGAAATTGCTCATCTGAAGGAAGAGAATGAAGAACTTGCAGAGCTAGCAAGCCACGTACAATATATGACAAATATGATTGAGGTAAACTACTGCCACAATAATATTTCTTAGGACCATCTAATTTGAAATACCTTTCAGAAGGCAGACATGGTGGCAGGGAAGTGTTAAATGATTATTAATTCAGTGCTTGACTAGCTGGTGTGTGGTAGAGAAAAAGATGAGTGTCCTGTTAATAATCCCAGGCTGCATACATTTTCTTATAAAGTCTGCTGATGGGGAATGCTAAGGAGGTTATCCAAGCTTTTGCATTCTAGCCTTCATTTCTCTAGCCTTTTCTGTAGATATGACAGGTTATCTTCAGAGAAGGTAATTCCAGACATTCTTGTATTTTGTTCCTGAAGGTAGTTGAGTCATTTCCAACTTGCTGTTCTGGCAATGTGGTGAGATTGGATCATTTTGGGGCAGAGGGGAGTGTGGGTGGTTAGAGTCAGCTGCAGACTTCTGATTGCTGACCCTTGATATTAAGGGGCATTGTACGATTACAATTTAATGAGTAGCATTTTTGGATAGGAAATAGATTATTCATATTTTAAAACTACTTTCCTGATGCTTTAATCTGCTCTGCTTTAAAGTATGATTTGGGTTTATCATCAATTCATATGGAAAACAAAATACCAAATTGGATTCCTGCTGAGCTTTTTATCTTCCAATACAGATGGCAGTTTGTTAGTAAAAGTTATACGTTTCAACCTGTAGATACAATACTCATCACCTATAAACAAATATGTGAAGATCTGTGCCTTATAGAGTATGACTATAATCCTATCACTAACATGTACTACTGTAAATCAAACATGAATCACAAAATCAAATTCCCACTAGTAACTAAGTTGACACTAGTACTACTCATTGCATGCCAGTTGCTTCTCAAACAACATGAATCACAACATCAAATTCCCACTAGTTACTAAGTTGACATTAGTACTACTCATTGCATGCCAGTTGCTTCACTTGATACTCAGTGGAATAAAGTGTCAACTTCTTAACTAGCAGTGACTTGTTGCTGTAATTTATGCTGTTTAGTCCATGGCAGGAGATGTAGGTACAGTACATCATCCAAAGGTATGTTCTGTCGTCACTGTCCTTTGAGTATTTTCAGGTTTTTCTTTTCTCATTGTCTTGGATGGTTTTGGTCTTTGCTCCTTTTAAAATACGGTGGGGGCACCACCCCCAATAAAGTAGTTGTCCCTCAACTTCTCTGGCTACTAGCTTACTTCATCAAATACATTATTTGAGAAGTATGTATTGCAGAATGTAGAATTGCCATGTTTGATAGGGACAAAACAACTATGAAAATCGTATTTCATTGAGGTCTATTTATTTTATTAGTTAAATTATTTATATGCCACCTTTCTCTCCATATGTATTGCGAAATGTAAAATTGCCATGTTTGATAGGCACAAAACAACTATGAAAATGGCATTTCATTGAGGTCTATTTTATTTATTTAGTTAAATTATTTATATGCCACCTTTCTCTCCATAGGGAACTTAACGTATATCAACAGATTTAAAAACTACCCAGTCAGCAGGCAGGGTTTCCATCTGCATTAGCTGAAACTTTATCTTCATGTTTAGGAGAAAATGGTATAAGCAGTAGACTGCATGACACTCAAATGCATGTTGCATCTGTTATATGCAGGAAGCTATCTGTTGCCAAGATCATTAATACTGTTTGTCCCTTGGCTTCAAAAGGTCTTTCACATTTGTTTCAGGCTCCTTTGTATCAAGAACTCTGATATTGGTAACAAACCCCAGACCGTTGCCAGTCTTGTTATCAGCAGTTTCCTCCAGTTTGGTCCAACACCAGGGGCCTCCTGTTCTGTGATGCTTGCTGGCCAAAGACACTGTGCCACACTTTGCACAGTTTTTTAATCATGAAGCACCCAGCCTTGAGTCACATCCACCGTCTCTTGACCACTGACTTTTTCTTCATTCATGGCACTGCACCTGCTACTATGGCAAATCTTCAGGATACCACTTCTTGTACTATCTAAACTTCAGCACTACCTGCATATCAGTTGTAACTTTATCTCTGCCTCCACTTGCCCACAGCAAACATCCTTCGTCAATACTAATCAGCGTTTCAGCCCTGTCCCCTCCCCCCTGCTTTTATATCCAACCTGACCATATTCTTCTGCCTCATTATTTCTGCAGGACTGCTACTTTGTCCCTGCCACTTACATTCATCAAGCCCAGAGCTGATGTGGCCCTTGGGACGGCAGTTCTTTTCTCTGTCCATACCAGACATCCCCTTCCCCTTCCTGTACATGAGCTCGCTAGTCACCCATATATGTGATTTATAGAGACTACAAAGGAGTACATGTTGCTTACCCATATCTGTGTTTCTTTGAGTGATCATGTGTGAATTCACACAGTTTTGTCTATCTTTCCCTCGGGATGTCTGTCACTTCTATTTTATGCAGTGTTGGCCTGAGGATCTGCCCTAAAAGTTGCTACACATGTGTGGTGCAGGAGGGGTGTGGCAGGGCTTGTGGCAGAAACCTTATTCAGCTCTTGAATGTTCCAGGGATGGCTTTACGAAGGCACAGTATGTTTTGTGAAATCACAGATGATCATTCAGAGAAACACAGATATGCAACTGTTTTTTTTTCTTAATATTTTGTAGCGGCTGACTGGACAAGCACCAGAAAATCTAGAGGCATTGAAAAATTTGGATCTAGAAGAAATTGCAAATGAAGAATCTGATTTTACAGAAGAAGATTTACAGAATGAAACTGAAGAGGAATGTCCACAGCTCTCCAGCAATTCTACAGAGAGTGTTGTGGATCAGCTTTTGAATAGAACATGTTCTCTAGAAAAAAACAGCCTCTCTAAAGAGAACAAAGAACTGCCAGGGTCAAGCTTTGAACTAGGGGAGGAGTGGCATCCTGAAAACAAAACATTCACTTAAGATTCAGAAGGTGAGTCTTAGCTAGTGTTGTGCAATATTGCAAATAATTATCTTACCTAAAGTGCATCTGGCCTCTTGTTGGAATGGTAATGCCATGTATTTTAGCTTGTAAATATTTTGTATTCTTCTATGAAATATACATAACTGCCAAATAAATATATCTTCACAAACATCATATGGTTTTTGAAACTATCTTCTGGAGTCTGTTTGTTCAGCTCGGTGTCCACTAGTGAATGGGTATTAGTACTATGAAGGGAAAGCTAACCATTCAGTTCTTGGATATGTAGTCTTGTTAACAGTTCAATTCCTTTAATTCTTCCACGAACCTTGAAAAATACAGCTGGATAATCAAATAATAAATAGCCACCTTGGGTCATGTCCCCTTGTATGTAAAGGCAAGACTGTACATGCTTTTGAAAATAATATCAAAAATGATTTACTCAGTCCAGAACTTTGGGTGAGTTGACAACACCATCAACACTTCACTGTTTGGTCAGATATCCAAATTCAAAATTGTACTAAAGTCCCAATAAGCCAGACAGCTAGGTGTAATTAGTTAAATTGTAGTTCTATATCTTGCTGATTTGTAAATGTATTCTGTTCAGTTGTATGGCATTAGGCTTACGATTCACAGGAGGATCTTCAACTAGCCAGAGGAGATTGCAGAGTGATCGCCATAAGTAGTTTTAAGGGTGATAGGTACAGTAAAAGGATAGTGGATTCTGTCTTAACTGGCAAGAATAGCACATACAGTGGTGCCTCACAAGACAAATTTAATTCGTTCTGCAGGTAATGTTGTCTTGTGAAAAATTCATCTTACGAAACGCGTTTTCCCATAGGAATGCATTGAAATCTAATTAATGCATTCCTATGGGCAAAAAAAGTCAGAACAAAGTCAAATTTGGTTTACAAAGGGTTTATTAAGTGCTCTTTAAAGCCATATTGTGCAGATGATTTTAAAAAATTCAATCAAAAAACTTTAACTTTTTAAACATAGAAAAACATTTCAAAATCAGCAAACATGAAGCAGGAACAAAAAACGGAAGACATTTGTCTTGCGAAGCACAGCCATAGGAACATTTGTCTTGCGAGTCATCATCCCCCCCCCATTGGGACAACACCACAACCATTGAGATATTTGTCTTGCAGGGCACCATTGTATTTAACTAGATACACTTCTCTGTTTGTCTGTTGTAAATGTTTGAATACTACAGTATTTGCAGTTTGCTGTGAGGCAGTACAAAAACGTTGTCGGGTACAACTGTGTGTAAATTTGCCATTGACTTTTGCAAGGAAATTCATACTCTTGCATCTTTCTGCAATTAACAGCAGTCAGATGATGATGATAATAATAATTTGTCATCAAGTCGATTGTGACTTACGGTGACCCTTTTCAGGATTTTCCAGGTAGAGAATACTCAGAAGTGGTTTACCATTCCCTCCTTCTCTGGGTGTACTGGAACTGTGCAGTTTTGCCCATAGCTACACAGGCTGGCCCTTTTGAAATGCACAGAGGGGAATCGAAATCCCAACCTTTGGCTCCCCAGCCAGATACCTAAACCATTGAGCCAGCCAGCAACAATGATCAGTTACCATGTTTAAATTATCCTGTTATATTGACAAGTTTTAATTTTTTAATAAATGATTTTATGTGGTGTAAATTGTTGCCCTAAAAATGAAAAGTGCCTTTTTAAATATGTGCCTCAGAGAGCTGCATTAAAAGCAGAAGTGCAGTTGGAAAGTGCTCTGTGAAGATAGTTTATATTATGAAATCCAAAACATCTTACAAGACCAAAACACAAGTACTATCTGGTAAGATAACAAGGCAGGAATACCTCATTCAATTACATGCTAGTTTTTGTGGTGAAAGATGGAAACAATAACAAAACAATGTGAAACATAGACAGTAACAAAAAAATGAAATGCATTTTGAATTGCTGCTTGGGTTATCTTTTACCTAAAATGTAAATTAACAAAGAAATACCATGAAATAGATGTAGAAAGCCATATTAAACAATTGAGAATAACCATATATTGTACAAAACAAACTTTTACAGAATAGTCTAAAAGGAGAAAAGGGTGAATGTTGTTTTAACCCTGATCCAAATCCCTTTCCCTATGATCTTCCCTTACCCAATTGAAAATGAATAAATTTTCAAAAAACGTAATGTATATTCTGTAATATCAATGAAAATTACATGCAAATGTATTGTGTTGTCAGTGTATTACATCATTCTATTCAGTAATGCTGAAGAGAGGGGGAATTACATCCAGACCTCGAAGACCAGACACTGGGCTCTCAAGGAGCTTGATAGGCCAGGAGCTCAGCTCAGCTTGGTCTGAGAGGAGAGAGCTTTAAGATAAGAAGCTTCCTGGCCTTAAACATTGAGAAATATGATGTTAAAGAAAGTTGCTGCTCACTGAGATATAATGGAGAGACATTCTATCTAAAGGGAATGGAAGACACAGATGGTCTGAGACGCCTAGAGTGGTCTTATAGTCCAGATAGGCGGGATATAAATCAAATAAATAAATAAATAAAATAATAAATGACTAGGAGATAACATGGACGTAACATAGCTATTTATTCCAACTGGCTAAAGATGAGAAAATATTTTTCTTCATTATGGTCTCTGTGAATGCACACAATAGGGTTTTGACAGCACCTGCGCTGGTCCTCTCAGAATCTTCCAGAGCTTTTGTAGAAAAGTAACAAAGTTTAGAGTTGCCCCTATTGCGCATACTCCAACCGCCTCAGCCTTCAATTCATTTTACCGTCTTTGGGCTAGGAACCTCTCGATCTTGGAGCTTTCTATTCAATAATATTTTGCTGGATTACAGACTTTTGACACAGACTTCCTTTGATTATTCGAACTCTCTGTTGCCCTTGATTACGGACTGCCTGACGATTCTTCAGTTTGCGTTTTGGATTTTTTAAATTATTGCTTCACTTTCCTGCCTTTTTCTGGCTCTCTGCTGCGGCTCTTTCTTAGTGCTATGTCCCGTCATTTTCTCAGATACTTGGAGAATTCTGGGCTTTTGCCATGCAATTGATTGTGAGTCCTACTATCTTATTCTATTTCCTACTTTATATCCCCCTCTGGACCCTTCACTAGGTGCACGTCATGCTCCCGTAAACTGCCATTCACAGATGGTCACGACCGCTGCCTTTTTTGTTTAGGAGAATCCCATCAACCACATTCTTGTGGACATTGTAAAAAATTCACGAAAGCCACCCTAAACGCTTGGAAGCAGGGTTTAAAACTTTTTCCTGTGGGACAAGACACTCTTGGTGTCGAAGCCATCTGAGATGGAAACTGCCCCAACACCATCGACTATCCCACGGTCGGAAGTGTGAATCACCTTCCCACCTCCGCTGTCGACATTGAAATTGGTCGACAAACCAGCTGAGAAATCCACGACCATGAAAAAGCCACCTACCTCGGTTTTGAGAACCACCTCGAACTCATCCTTGAAGGACCTGAAACAGAAGAAATTAACATCTAAAGACAAAGATAAATCCAAGGACCATCGTAAACATATTCCTTCCGTCTCAGTGTTGCTGCCATCACCGATCTTGGAGAATTCATCCCGGGACCGGGAATCTCTGTCGGAAGGAGCCACTTCTCTTCCTCCACAACAGCTCGAGACCTCTCCTGTTGGCCTGAACCGATCGCCGACCTCTAGCCAGCTAGTAAATGTTGCTAGCTCGGCTTCTGCACACTGCGGACCTAACTGGATACATGCTCTCTGGTAACATCATGACAGAGGCTTACACATCAACCACCTAGAGATGCTGGCAGTTATAAAATTCTTCTGAGCATTCCTCCCTCTCATACAAGGTCATGGTGTACAGGTGATCATGGACAACACCACAACCATATGCTATATCAACAAGCAGGGGGGACACACTCCATGTCCCTTTTCCTCTCAGTACACCTGTGGGAGTGGTGCTACCACCATCAGACTTTCCTGGTGGGCCTCCATGTCTCAACAACGGACAATGAGCTTGCGGACAAACTAAGCCATTTGACAGGGCAGATCCACAAGTGGGAATTGGACAAGGGGATTTTCCTCTTACTATGCAACCAATGGGGATTCCCTGTAATAGACATGTTTGCGACCAACAGGAAGTGCACAGGTAGTCCTCTCGTGCGGGGAGAGTCGAGGACTCACTCGGGGATGCCTTCATGATCCCTTGGGAGTCCAGCCTCCTATACCTTTTTCCACCAATCCCACTCATCCAGAAAACCCTGGTCAGAGCTTGTCAGCTGAAATCAGATGCAATCTTCATTGCACTGTGGTGGCCTTGTCAGCCTTGGTTTTCCACCTCAAGACAATGGAAGTTACCACGCTTATCACTCAGGATTCAGGCAACATCATCCAGATCTCAAGTCACTACATCTCACAGCTTGGATGATCACCCATCGATCAAGGGGGTTCTACATAAAGCTAAGAAGCCTTCTACCAACCTTCTTTATAAATACAAGTGGAAATTTTTTCTCAATTTTGCTCAATCAAATCATCTTCAAGTTTCCCCAGTTTCTCTGTCTACCTTACTTCAATATTTGCGCTATTTGTTTGACTCCGGTTTGGCATTATCCACACTCAAAGTTTACATCTCGACAATTGTTTCTTTCCAACCTCGTGACTCAGATTCTGCACGTTTTTTCTCCCACCCTACTCTCAAATCCTTTTTGAAAGGCCTATCAAATATCCAACCACCCATCAAACCTCCTATACCTCAGTGGTCTCTTCAGGTTGTTTTGTGTGTGCTTACGCGCCACCCGTTTCAACTGATGGCCTCCTGTGACATTCGTTTGCTGTCATTTAAAACTTTGTTTTTGGTTGCCATTACATCTGCGAGAAGAGCGAGCAAACTAGCAGCTCTCAGGTCTGATTCCCCTTATCTAAAACTCTTCAAATACAAGGTTACTTTATATCGTGACATTTCCTTCTTACCTAAAGTTGTCTCCGATTTCCACCTTAATCAATCCCTTATATTGCCTACTTTGTTTCTTGAACCTATATTGGATATTGAACGCTTGCTTCACTCGTTGGACGTTAGGAGAGCCTTGGCGTATTATGTTTCACGCACTAAGGACTTCGTACTGAACCAAGGCTGTTTATATGATGTTTCCATGGACAATATAGAGGTTCTCCTGCTTCCTCTTC